CTTGCAACATGTTTGGGTGGGCAATCATCAAAAGAGCCTGAACCGCCGCTCAAACCTGCTGCAAACTTGACACAAACACCAAAGCTCTGCAAACGGCCCAGAGTCTTGGTCAAACACCTTTCTGCTCTCTGAGCCACATTTGCAGTACTTGGCTGGCGATATTTCTCACGCAATCACAAGTATGTTCACACTACTTGCTGGGTACAGGCTTCCCCACCTTTGTAAGCATTTCGCATGGGCAAACATATTCATTTGACTCATATCACATGTGGAATGAGTGCAGTGCATGTGGTGTGTGTGTGTGTATCTATGCATATATGCGGTGTGTGTGTGTGTGTCTGCATGTGCAAAGTGTTCTGTCTGTAGTTTCTGTAGCGCATGTGACCCGCTCAGTCTATGCAGTAAAATCCGTGAATGCCATGTTTGTCGCACTACTGCAATGCATGTTGCGTATGCAGTGTCTGTACCGACACAATGTCACTACACCAATTCAAGTGTTTGGGTGAGGTCACTGAAGCAGGGGCATCGGTGAGGTAGCGCTTTGCTTTGGCACCAATACACCGCACTCGTTTGGAGAAATCATGCCCGGTGCCGCTGGGAACATGCTGTTTGATATTCCTCCCAAGCTGATGCGACTTGATCTCAACAATGGACTGCGCCGCTTTCTTTCACGCATGTCCTTGGCTTGGAATTTGCTGCGAGCATTGGAACATCTATGATCTACCGGCAAGCTTTGTCCGTTGCACGCTGGTACTAGCTAATGCCCACTTAGCGTGAAAGTTTTTTAAATCGGTCTGCACCATGCTGAGAAAAGTCTCAACACATATTGCATCCAGAACAAGCAATCCAGATGCGCACTTCGACATTTCGGATGCTCTGGCACAGGTCCTGCTGGAGACAGCAAATGCTGCTTGGCTTGCCGCTTCCGGCGCCTTCGCAGCCAAAACATGCCAAAACAACTTACAAGGCTTGCCAGCCAGCAGCAGTCGCTGGCAGGCGAAGCATCTCTCGCAATCCTGAGCGATGGAATGTGCTAGATTACTCTCGCAAACCAGGCAAGCATCCAGGGAAAAGTCTGAGCTGTTCCCGGCCGCTTCGAAGCATGGAACTGCATCACTTTGCCCCGAGATGGAAAACCAGGGTCAGTGGGTCGAGCTGATCGCAAGCTCTCACTTTAAACATATTCGAATGCTTTCTCTGCTTTCGGCGTGCATGTGGCAATGCAGCTGCTTGACGTGTTGTAGCCACGAAAGGCTGCTGCCACTTACAAAGTACGCACGGATGTGGAAGTGATAGGCATGACTGGCTTCACCGAGGCCAAAGTTGTCCAGGTACTGAAAAACAATTCCCGTGTGCCCAGTGGGAAACTTAGAGGACAAATCCTCCAAATGCGTAGCCGCATGTAGCCGCGCTTCACGGGCCGAGGCCTGGTCCAAGCTGGGCACACAACAATCTGCCAGTCTGCCTGCTCATCCTTGAAACTTGAAACATGTGCTACAGGTGGAGCAAGTAACAAAAATACAGTGCTGCGCTGCGTGAAGTCACACTGCTCAAGCCTCATGAGGCCAGAGCTGCCAATTGTGGCACTCGCGGATCAACGCTCACCAGGTGCAAATGCACAAAGCAAAAATCAAGCATTGCATGATGAGCACAATACACTCACCGATTCAGTGGTCACACATTGAAGGCCAAGTTGTTCATCTGGAAGCACTGCAAATATCTCGGCATAGACACATAACACACAAGAGCAGTTGTATTCCTGCGAGTGTCCTTTGCTTCTCAGCGCCTGGTCCCTATTACAAACAAACTAGCCGTCGCTGGCAATACCGCATATTGTGGAGAGACATGAGAGACCCCGCGCAGGACTTAGACTCATGAACCTCAGGTGTGCCATCATCCGCCATCGGACTCATGGTTTCTATGACATCCTTCGTAGCCTCTGATTGATCGAGATCTGCTCGGCGGAATTCAATCAACTTCTCAAACCTCGGAGAATACCGAGTGGCAGCACTGATTGGAAAAACATCTTCCATTCTCTTGCCATGTGGGTTCAAGTACATGAAGCTCTACTGAACCTCGCAAGAACAACTCCTGGAAAGGAATAGCATGGGATATGGGGTTTGATCAACAAATCTTTTGCATGGGATGACCATCAAGGAAACCACCAAAAACGATGACTTTCCCCACTAAACGGTAGAAGTTACCCATGGTCACTTATTCATCAACCCCAGTATCATCCAGAGGCAGGATCCATGAAGAAACTTGTCAACTCTTCCAGCAGGAAAAATCAGAAACACGCACAGCTTTGCATGACAAGCTTCGGACTCCCTGCATTTCGGGTGCTTGTGTGCTGACCTGCTACCGGCATGCCTGAACAACATATACAGTATTACTATCTGTGCATCCCGCTGTTACGTGTTCTTGGAAAGAAGGCTAAAGCTACTTATAGATGGAGACACACTTCATGCATGCATGCAAAAGGAAGACATGGCTGAAACGTTGCTGCATCTTTTGTGGGAACAAGGATCGCGTGTCATCGCGTGTCATCGCGTCGTCTCGACTTCCATGCTAGACACTTGTAATCCGCTCTTCTGTAAAGCCGTCTTGCACATAAACCCTTTACTGCTCGTCCTTTCACGACAATTTGCAAAGTGCCTTGTGATGCGATACAATCGGCACTTTGGACGCACTAGACTGCTCTCTGATGAGCATGCTTCTCGGACAAGAAACCCAAAGCCAACAGCAAGCAAAGGATGCTGCGGGCCCTACGTAGCTCTTCATTGCCATCAATGTATACTCTGCACATTGGCTGCTATGCCTCTCACATTTGGCGTACTTCACACTGCGGCTCAAATGGGCGTCACACCACGGTTTATCAAGATCCGTTGGCACCTGTTTCGCGAAAATATATGTTGTTCTTTCGGCAAATGGTATCAACGGTGTCGATTTCTGCTAATGAAACACATTGGCCTTGCAGCAGGGCATGGCCTAGTGGCCGCAATCCTGCCTGTTGCCATATGTCTTTGCACTGCTTCCTACTGCCTGTTTAGAAAAGCCTGTCAGTGACAAGGCACCTGTTTATTTAGGCGGCTTGGGGAAGACATAATCATGTTGTGGCGATATGATTGGCGGGTTGCATATATGAACTCGAAAGCTGCCCTTGAAAGGGTGCACAGTGGGATTCGAGAGGAAACCCCAATGGAGCTTGAGGCAAGTCCCCTCAACCGAAACGGCCACTGCGGTAAGAAGGCGCCCCTTATGCCCAGCAGGACCAACGAAATAGTTAACACCCTGTCAGTGCAGGCCTCTGGCAGGTTGAGCCTTAAACTACGAAAACAGCAGGCAGGTTGCCGAAATTTGCCTTCATGACACTAATAAGCGAACGTAGCAACCCAAAAAAATGAGCCCGCCTTTCAGGAATCGTCTGCCCTCCCGCAATCCTTGCGGATTTTTGAAACCCAGCAGCTGCTCAGGGTACATCTCGACCTTTCCCATAAAGTCCTGACATGCTTGATGGCCACTCAGTCGGCGTTTCCTCCTATGAAAATTAGAACTCTGTGCTGAAGAACTGTGCTGCCTTGGACTTGATGGACACACCAAAGACAGGCCAATAACAAGAACAAGGACAACAACAACAACAACAACAAGAAGAAGAGAAAAACAAGAACAACGACGACAAGAACACACTAGAAGAAGGGCAAGAACTATAACAATAACAAGAACATCGACAAGTAACAAGACAAGAGCCAAGAAAGGAAGCAACAAACAGCAAACACACACACACAAACAAGCAGAGAAAAACGGACATAGACACATAGCAAACCAACCAACTAGCAAACAAACAGACAAACCAACCAACCGACCGACCTACCAGCCAACCAACCAACCAACCAACCAGCCAAACGAGCAACCAAGGAACAAGCTGAACAACTTCTGAACTAACCAACAATCAAGAACAAATAACGATATAAATACATAAATAGTGCAAGTGAGGAAAGAATAAATACTGCAAAGAGAAAGAAAACAAACAAACAAACAAACAAACAAACAAACAACCAAACAAACAAACAAGCAAACACACAAGCAACAAACATACACACGATGAAACAACATGAAACAACACAAGGCAAACAATCATGGTATCCTAGCACTATAGAACATATCAAGATGCATTCCACGCCGGTGTTTGCTCCAACGCAACCGTGGTGACTCGGCAAGTCCCAGGAAAACTCCACGCCTCGAACACTTCAAACTGATCTTCAGGTCCGACGAGTCCAAAGAGCCGTGGCCTCCTTGAGACATCCCTGGCTGCACTTTGGGAAACTCGGCGGAATTTTGTGATACGCCGATTTTCTAGGGGTTGATTCCGGATCCGCGCTGGCGGAAAACCAGCATAAGTCTAGGGGTTGATTCCGTGTCCATTCTTTTCAACCATGGTTATTGTTGAATACCAGATGTTTCCCCTGGGGTTCTGATGGTTTTCTGGGAAGAAGGATCCCTGGAAAGAATGCAGAAGTGGTCCCCTAGAGATTTGGGCTGCCACTATTCACTGCAAGCTATTTGCAAAACGCACAGCTCAAGTGAAGGCAAGCATCTGATTGCTTTGAGAGGCCACGCGCGTTCTCCAGGCCCCGCTTTCATGGAACTTCCGAGCTGCCAGGCTCAACATGACCCTATGCCGGAACTCTAAAATGGACTTAAGCCAATGGCTGCACCGCGCAAGGCATCAAACCCCGCGTGCAGAAGAGCCAGAAAGCTCGGCAGAAGAAGAAGAGCTGTTTGCACGGCATCTGGCTGGCCGCTGAGAATGAAGGTCCATGCAGGTATCGCCACGGCGCATTCATAGGGTACCGCATCAAAAAATAAACAGACAAGGATATCCCATGATATCCCTGTTTGTTTTCTTTTTGAGGCGCATGCTGCATTCATCACACCCGCATAGAATCCGTGCGGTGTTCTGTTGACACGACCACCAAACCGCAAAGACTGAGGCGTCTGGCTCCTGGGTACATGTACTCCCAGGTTGGGAGTTCCTCTTCCTGGCACGGAGGCACCACTGAAACTCCTACACCCATGGAACCAGGCACTGCACCGATCTCTACGAGAAAACCGGATGGTAAGAACAAAACTCAGCATAGGCCGCAACCAGCGACACACCATTCAGGTAAGCTTTAGGCACATAGCTGGCGACCAAAACCGTTGGAACGCCTTACCGGCCAGTCAACTCTTCATTATTTGTCTTGTTTCACCGAGAAACGTGGCCTCCAGAAGCTCCATGGGCAGGTGTTTCCTCAGGATGGCCCGAATTGCTTGAATACCTAGCCACCGTTCTTTGAATATTCTTAGGTGTCCTGTTTGCCGACCATATTGCGGTCAATTGTTCACTGATCTGGCCAAGGTTCAAAGAACTTTGAACATGGAGCCGAAGCAAACTCTGGCAAGCTGGTCTTCTGCAAATGGGAATTCACACAGTACTGGAGTGAGGCGTATTTGCGAAGCGCGCTTGAGCAGGCCTGAAACCAGTGCGAGACCCGTTGGGTTCCCGGCGAGTCGTCATCGTCGCTTTCCTCACTTGCGCCTGCACGGCGCAATGGCTATGGCTCAGCCTTCTAGCCTGAAGACCTGGGAGGCAAGAATCGCAGCACATGCTCCGAAGCAAGCATGTCGCTAAAGTGAATTTCTGCTCGGTCTTCGCTGCTTCAAATGGCTGGCATGTGGCACATCATTGGCTCTCAGCGGGGCATTGCCGGCTTCAAAGCCCAAAGCCTCGTGTAGATAGTACTGCAGCAAGCACCACCAGGAGCAGCAGTGCAGGCCTCAAGGAACACGGCTGCTAACATCCCCGACTTTGCCAAGAGTCTGCACAAACACCTTTGAGGGCGCCAACACCTACCTCACACACACACACCCCTCCTATTCCATTTTCGAGGGGGTGGGCTTGCCCCAACTCGTCGGCGTCCTACATGCAACATTCAAGCAGTGAGACAATCAGGAAGTCTCAGCCGGGCACTGCAACGCCCATAGTATCCAATTGTTAGCATCGCTCGGGGCCTGATGGGCTGTCGGATCAAAATCCCTGCAACAACCCGCATGTTTGAGAAGCTGCAGGCGCGATGTGATGACATGCAAACATCGGCAACACACTGCGCAAGGTAGTATGGGCCATGTGCAAAAAAAAGAGGCATTGCAAACCAAATCAGGTACGAGCACGCAGCTCATGTTCTAACAATCATGCAGTAATCGGATTGGATCATGAGCGTGCAGGATTCCAACACCTTGCAACTCATTAATTCAGGAAGATTGATGAATAGGCGATGGCTGTTGTCACCAGCCGGCGGATTGTAGGACAGGAAGCGACAAAGAGCATGGGAAGGTGGATGATGGAACATGGCTTTCCATTGATTTAGTTTGGAGTCATCACCATTCAGGACCTAACTATCACCCACCTTTCTGGCTCTCACTCACATAGGTGCTTAGTCTTGGAGTAGCCTGCCAACCCAAACATGGCACCTGGTTGCTGGATGGCAACCCAAAGCAGTAACTCTAATCTGTCTGTTGTGTGTGTGATCTCGTGATGAAAGAAAATTGTGCTGTGCCTTTCCTTCTCCACTAATATTCACGTCATGGAATGGCTTCAAAATGGCGGTTGTCTGAAATCCCTTGTTCCCAGAAACTCCATTCACGCGGGAAAAGCAACTTTGCGACCTCCATCGCGGAGCCTTCGCGGGGCCATCTTCACAACAATCATTGCACAAATAGTTAGTGCAAAAAGGACACTGCCGCAGTCCCGGCAAATTGGAACTTTCCAGCACGAAAGTAGCACCCGAAGAAAACTTGCGCAGCGCCTGTTCGCAAGTGCGAACTTTTCAGTTCCAAATCAGTAGACAAAGTGCACTTCCGCGGACTCAGCTCGAAAGCCGTGCAGCAGCATAGCACAGCAGGGGAGTCGTTTCACACTAGTGTCCACAAACTGGCGGGGAAAACAA